TCCTTTTGCTGCACGGCAATGTTTCTGGGCTTGACTAGTTATGCCTATCCTGGTGTAGGTGAGAGCAGTGGACAGGTCCCTGCCATGCTTGCACACAACCACGTTGTTCAGAAGAAAGGTGGAGATGTGCCTGGTCGCCTGCCAGCTGAGTGGGAGGAGTGGACACTAGTGTTTCAGTGCTCCGTGGCTGATTGGAAGGCTAGGTCACCCTGCAAACACCACTGTGGGGTCCAAAGGACACTTGGCTGATGACTTAGCCCGGGGCATGACCCCTCTTCTGCAGCTGGGCAGGACCTGGCTCCCCTTCCCTCTCCCTCTGTACTTAGGTTGCCCTGGAGGCCATAAGACTCTGCTGTACGCAGAGTTCACCTGAGAGTGTGTGTGTGTGTGTGTGTGTGTGTGTGCACGTGTGCACATGCATGCCAACAGACACAGCAGTGCCCTGTCCCAGGAGGCCATCTGGGGCAGACTGCGCCCCACAGCAGCAGTGTTCCTACAGACACCAGCCTGGGATGTCTCAGTCCCAGGAGTGGGGACAGTAACCCGGAAACGGTGGGCAGCAGAGCTGTGACGGGACCTGCAACGGGCACCCACGGGGCGGTGGCAGCCATGTATGCTGTGTGCCTGCTCACACGCTGCCAAGGGGGCTAGGGACAGCGGCACTGCTCTGTGTGCACCAGGATGTGGTGGCCCCTCAGTCACCCCGGCCTGGCCATCCCCGGACACACCTGGTCTGCTCCAGCACTGGGTCTGGGATGGTGGCTGGGAAATGGGAGCCCCATGGCAGAGGAGCGTGCGGCGTGGACAGTGAGGGCAGGGCGGAGTGCACCTGTGGACGGAACCTGGGCCCAGCGAGAGGGAGGCACCGAGGAGCACCAGCTCTTCAGCGTACAAGCTCATGGCAGGGCTTGTGGAGCCCTAGAGGAGGGAATGAGATCTAAAGGGAGCCCAAGAGCAGTTTCCGTTCTGAGAGAAACGCTGAATGAGAGAAGCCGGATGTGGTGTACACCGGTCATCCCAGCACTCTGGGAGGCTGAGGCACGAGGATCTCAAGCCCAGCCTGGACAACTTAGGGACTTTGTGGGACCCTGTCTCAAAAAAAAAAAAAAAAAAAACA